CTTTTTCAAAGAACCTGTTCCAAGTCTCAGGACTAACACCTTGACGCCATGGTGGGAAAGAGGTTTCGCATGCAGACAAAAGAGAGCCCAGCTTGGCACGTGCTGTGATTACCTTTTGGTTATTAGTGTTAGAGTTAATTATTGCAGCATGCTGGAGGGCAGGGACAATTTACTTGCCTGATCACACCTAATAAGATGTATTTGCAGATTCCAGCATCTCCTGGACTTAATCAACAAACTATCAAGACAATCAATGCTGTTGGGCCCCATGTCCTTGTGATATTTTTTCCAAACAAAAAGATAAAAATCCAAGGACAGAGGGCTAAGGATATAGGCAAGCTGTTCAGAAGACGTGAGGCTTATCTCCCTCCTGTTTGGCTGAAGCCACTGTGCGGAAGGACTGGTTCACCCCAAGGCCTGATTCTATCAAGAGCAAAGTTCAAGCCAGCCAACACAAGGAAACTAACATCTGAAAACGCCCACACTTCTTGGTAACTGCTGGAAATCTCTTCTACTGACTTTATCCTGTGTGGGAAAAGGCACTGGCTCAGATCAAGTCTTTTTCATACAGAGTATGAATTTGAGGAGAAAATTATATTTACATTCCCAAAACTCAGTGCATCATTTTCCACAGAACAATGTGTGGTGAAAGACTTGAGTAACATTCCCAATTCAACTGGTAAGATTTCATATTCAGTATAAGCTATTCTCTGCCTGTTGTATTCTTGCCCGGAACATATTTCTGCAAGCCTTGGGTAATTTGCCCTGGTTTTTGCTTAGTGTTATACAACAAGTCTCCTCAAATCTGAGAAAGTATTGAAGAAAAACTTGGAGACAAGAGGAAAGCCATGACATTGAAAGAGGAAATCTTACTGCACACAGAGAAGTTGCTTGTCAACAACCAAACTAATAGCCTGGGATTAGGAAGGAATGTTTTAAGCATCTTACATCCTAATAGGAGAGTCTTTTAGTTCCATGTAGGTGTTATACTAGGGACTTCCCAGGTGGCGCTAGTGGTGCCTGACAGTGCAGGAGATATAAAAGATGTGAGTTCAATTCCTGGGTTGGGAAGATCCCCTGGAGGAAGGCATGGCAACCCACTCCAGTATTCTTGCCTAGAGAATTCCATGGACAGATGAGCCTGGCAGGCTACAGTCCATAGGGTCACACAGAGTTGGACGTGACTGAAGCGACTTAGCACGCATGCATGTTTTATGCTTCTGTTATGTTTTAGGAAATTGTGTGGAAACTTAGAATTGATGTGTAACAGTGTAATTTTTACCACTTCAAATAATAAGAAATAGGCTCTGGCTGGCATTTTTCATGTAGACCATCTGACTCTTAGAAGCAGATTACTGGTGTTATGTGGGAGGAGATGGTATTTTAGAAACTGGATAGGCAGTGATGCCCTGTGCCTCCGTATTACTCCCCACCCATTCAGGAACACTGAGTACTATAAGCCAGTACTGTGTTGTGGGCTGTGGACACGACAGTGAAGGAGCCAGCATCTGTATATTGAAGAACCCTGGGATGGGGTCAGAGGGCCAGCAGAGGAAGTGGGGAGTAGGGGGAGGAGCAGGTGGTGGGACCCTCATCCAGCTCCCAGAGCCAAGGAGGCATGAGCAGAAGGAGGAGAGGGAATGAACAGGCCATGCTAAAGCCCAGAGACAGAGCAAAAGGCAGCTGAACTTGGGTGCATCACTGAGCCCAAAAGAGCAGGTCCTCCCACACTGCAGCACCTTCACTGCATCCCAGGAAGGAAGAAGAGTTCCAGCTCCTCTCAGTAGCTCTGCCCACAGGCTTCTGCACCATCTTCAGGTTAAGCTACTTCAGGGACAAACTGTGAATGGGCTCTAAGACTTCATTTCCTCATCTAAATATGGGATAAATTTCCTCCTTCTAGAGTTATTGTGAGTATTGAATGAGTTAATATATGAAAAGTGCTTAGACCAGTGCCTAGCAATATGTCAGTGATTATTTTATTTACCTATTTTTCAGTGCAATATATTAGCTATTATTATTAGCTTGCTGTTGTTGCTGTTCAGTTGATCAGTTGTGTCCAACTCTGAGATCCCATGAGCTACAGCACACCAGGCCTCCCTGTCCATCACCACCTCCCAGAGCTTGCTCAAACTCATGTCCATCAAGTCAGTGATGCCATCCAACCATCTCATTCTCTGTTGCCCCCTTTTCCTCCTGCTCTCAATCTTTCCCAGCATCAGGGTCTTTTCTAATGAGTCAGCTCTTTGAATCAGGTGGCCAAAGTATTGGAGCTTCAGCTTCAGCATCAGTCCTTCCAATGAATATTCAGGGTTGATTTCCTTTAGGATTGACTGGTTTGATCTCCTTTCAGTCGAAGGGACTCGAGAGCTAGAGGCCCTATAAACGTGTCACCGAGAAACCTAAGGGTTCCTGAGCTCAGGTTGGGGCTTTTAACACCTGCGTTCCCAGTCTTTCTCTCTCTCTTCTTTTCACTTGCCTTCTCTTTTCTTCCACACAGGCAAATGCATATTTTTGGACCACTCATTGCTGCCATGAACCTGCATATGACATGGATTTAACTTAAGAAAATCCAAGAATGCCCACTTGGCTGGATGAGGTAGGGGAGAACAATTTCAATACTGCAAGCCTTCCTTGCCTTCTATCAGGGAGCACAAGGTGAACTCCAGAAGAGAGGGTGACATGAGCCTGTCCCACCAACAGGGCCGCTTTCCCAGCCTCAACTGTCCTGAACATCTTGCCACATACATGCAGGTGAGTTAGGGGAACTTCAGGCATAAATCTGACTATATGCAATTTTTACCCTCCATACTGCCTTTGGAAGCCAAACCTCTCTTAAAAAAGAGATACCCAAGCACCTGTCTGTCGAGCACTGAGTAAATTCTAACTGAATCAAAAATGCTGAAGGTTTTCTGAGAGCTGTTTTTGACTTAGGAAGGTTTACATCCTCCCCCAAGGGTAGCCTGAGCAATGGAACAAATGCCTCCCAGATGTGAAAACAAAAGAAGGGGCTGGGGTCTGCTACCTGAGTCACCAGGCCGTCCCCTCCCCCATACAACCTGAGCCACCACGCCTTCCCCTCCCCCACATGCTCCCATGGTAAAATCAGCATCCTCTCCACCTAAAGTAGGGCTAAAAAGGGAAATTTGTCACACATAGCAGCTACAGCAGGGCAGACACAGAGCTTGAAAAATAGATGATCTCAGCTCACAAGCCCACAAGCCCCATGCTGCTCCTGACCTTAGGCAGGTATGTTCTCCCCGCTGGGTTTTGAAGAAGGAAACAGACAGAACAGGCTCCATCTTGAAAGCAGGACTCCATCTTGGGCTGGACCGTGGACTTTGAGCTCTGTGCCCAGGATCTACGGAAACGACAAACCAACTGGAAAACCAGCCCCCCTGGATGGAAGAGCCCTAGAGCTCGTACCTAGACTCTCTGTCACCTGAAAGAATACCCTAATTATCTGTGTAACCAAATAGAATCGTAAATTCTATTATGCTTATTGGTGTATGACCACAGGCCTATTGATAATTGTCCACTGTTAACTACCTAGGCTTAAGGCATATGAATCACAGGTTAACTTTGATTGTATCTTTCTTTTCCTTTGTTCAGACTAGTTTCAGGGAATTTGGGGATGTGGGTTTGGGCATGTACACTTAGGGTATATAAGGTTTTCAGAAAAACTGGTCATGGTCCCTGGCTAAGAGGAGACTCTGCCTTGGGCCCGCCGGTGTAATAAACTGCACTCCACTGTCTGCACTGTCCTTCTGAGTGAGTTTGTTTCCCGGAACATGTGGCTACATTTAGTGCATTGACTGGGAAACTCCTCACTTTGAGGAGACAAGTCCCATTTGGGACTACTCCGAGGCCTTGTGGCTCGAATCTTCTAGAGGGGGGAAGGTGCCTTGCCCTTCTGGAAGGATTCTGCTTCTCAATGCCTGGACCTTTCAGGTTAACAGGTAGTGGACGGCAGCAGGGGAACTGAGCGCTCAGGTGAGGAGGAACCCACCCAGCAGGGTGGAAGAGGGGGCCTGATCACCCCCCACCCCCACCCCGGGAGGGATGAGAAGACACACAGACCCACAGGAGCCTGGACTAGGCAGGTGGCAGTGATTGCTTGGTACACAGGTTGACGGGCGTGTTAGGGCTTAGGAAGGAAATTTGTGAAGGTCATTTAGGAGGTGGTGTCCATGCCGTCTTGGGGAAATTATTACCAAGCAATTGCCAGGGGATTTTTAGGAGAAAAAACTTGTTTTTCATGTGCTCATGTTCTGCCCTCCCCAAGGAGGTGTCCCATCTGCTATGAAATTCTTGACACCCTCAGAATTGCCAGGCTAGAAGGAGGGGGATACATAAGTGAGTACAAATTGGCTTTTCTGGAGACAGCCTGGGACATGGGATTTTTAACCCATCTTTATTTTCATCCGCACCTGATCAAGCCCACCAAGGCAGAATGGACTTTAAAAGTTAAGGGAAAAACAGTCTTGGACCACATGGTGTTCTATTTCGCCTGTGCTGACTGGCAGGTGAAGACACGCCGATCCCCCTTCTCCCTCTGGGATCTGGCAGGTAAGGCTCCTCTCACCCCAGTTAGGAAGGAGGCAGAATGGCAATTTAAGTGTCATTGAGTGGAAATATCAGAAGTACATAGAGTACTGAGAAGTTCGTAGACAGAACGAAAAGGAAAAGTAGAAGAAGGTCTGAGAAGGTAAGCAAGATGGGGGGAAGTGACTCTAAGGCAACTGTATTGGGGTGCATGATTAAAAATTCAAAGGGATTTGTAGGAGACTATGGGGTGGACACGACTGAAGCGACTTAGCAGCAGGAGCGCGGGGTGAAGATGAAGCCTAACCGCCTGCATATACTCTGTGAGGTCGAACGGCCCCCATGGGAGTAGGACGGCCACCAGAGAACACCATGAACTTAAAAATAGTGGAAGCGGTCTATACGGTAGTCAGAGGAGAGACAGGACACGCGGATCAATATCCATCTATTGACTCATGGCTAGGGTTAGCTCAAGACCCTCCTACTTGGACAAGGTTCTGTATCCAGGAGGGAAAGGGAAAAATATTAATGGCACAAAAATTGACTGATGATAAAAAAAGGAAATTTTACAGGATTCGGACGGGGATAACCTGATGCCTCCCCCAGATAACTGGATAACGACTCGCCCGCCGCCCAGTGTTCCACCAGGACCAGAGGCCGCCTTGATGCCCGATCCAGGGCCAGGTGAAGTTCCGGCACCAGCCAATGCTCCTCCGCCAGCTCTTCCGGAGTTCATAGAGCCGCCGTTTCGACAAGCTCCAGTCCCAGTAATGGAGACCTCCGGTCAACGCCCCCAGAATTCCACCTCAGCTGGACCTCTAGATTGTATCCACCTCTCCCGGTGAGTACTGATGGGAAGGGGGGAGAAAACACAGCAATTAGATGGAGGCTGCGCTCCGCCAGGGAACGGGGGCAAGAACCCCACTACAGATGCCCCCTCAGAGAGCTACAGCAGCCTCCGGGTCAGGACGCATGTGGGCACTACCATCAGCCCCCCTGTAGCCTATTATTACCAGCCATTTTCCTCTAAGGATGTATTAAACTGGCAGAGACACGCTCCACGGTACTCGGGGGAGCCACAAGCCATGATTAGGCTAATGGAGACTATTTTTCGAACCCACTGCCCTACATAGGATGACATAATCCAACTACTAGTCTCCCTTTTCAGCACTGCGGAAAGACACAGGATCCAAATCAAGGCCAGAAAATGGTTCAGAGAAATGGCGCCTGAGGGTATTGCAAACCCTCAGTGGTGGGAGAACCAGCCATCCCTGATGAGGGGCCTGATTGGGACTGTGACCCAGAGGAAGGGAGGGGCCACCTGGAGATATCGGGTGACTATTTTACAAGGTGTCAAGAGGGGGGCCCAAAAAGCTATGGGTATCGCAAAACCCTCCGAAGTGATTCAAAGCGAAAGCGAATCACCTGCTGAGTTCTGCAAAAGACTGTGCGAGGCCTATAGACTTTATACGCCAATAGACCCAGCCAGAGGCTGCTGGGTCTCAGATGCTGATAAATGCAGCCTTTGTGTCTCTAGCCTACCCTGAAAATGTCAGATGGTGGGGACACCAAGTGACTCATGAATTTTTATACATCCCTGAATGTCCAGTACCTTTGTTAGGAAGAGACTTGCTGTCTAAATTGGGGGCACAAGTGACCTTTCCCCCCATGAAAGACCCACTGTTTGAGTGGGGTCTACCACCTAGTTACTCTCCCTCTCAGTAACCCTTCAAGATGAATGGAGGTTGCACAATCTCTCAGCAAGGAAACATGACAGGCTAAACAGTCAAGAGAGAGAGAGTTAACTCAACAATACCCTGAGGTCTGGGTGGAAGACAACACCCCCAAGGCTTGCAAAATAAATCCCACTGGTAATAGAACTCAAACCCTGTACAATTACATCAGCACCCGCCTTGGGCCTACCAGACCTTGCTAAGCCGTTTACTCTTTAGGACAAGGTGGCTATGGGAGTGTTGTCCCAGATTATGGGGACATGGGACAGACAGGGACTTATCTCTCGAATCAGATGGACAATGTTGCCACTGGGTGGCTGGCATGCTTACGGGCAGTTGCTTGCAGTTGCCTTACTGGTCCGGGAGGCAGCCAAGCTGACTTTGGGCCAAGATTTGTTTGTAAAAGTCTCGCATGAGGTCAGCACTTTCCTGCGAGGGGACCCCCATAAATGGCTGTCAACATCCCGGATTACTCAGTACCAGGGACTGTTACGTGAGAACACCCATGTTGCTACTGAGCCTTGTCAGGCCCTGAATCTGGCCACTCTCTTTCTTGTGGGAGAAGGTGGGCCCTCACATGATTGCAAGAAAATATGCCAGCAGACCTGACTTGAGAGACCAGCCAATCCTGGACCCAGACTGGGTCCTGTACACCAGTGGCCCCAGCCTGGTGAAACGAGGACAACGACTGTCGGGATACGCAGTAGTCATGGAAGAAGCCATCGTTGAGGCCTGCTCTCTGCCATCACACTGGTCCACTCAACAGGCCGAACTATATGCTCTAATCCAGGCCCTCCAGCTGTCAAAAGGTAAGAAGACAAACATTGACACAGACTCCAAGTATGCTTCTGCCACAGTACAGGGCTCTGTGTAAGGAGAGAAACCTCTGAGAGCTAGTGAAAAAGATATTAAAAATAAGGAAGAAATTAAGACCCTATTAGATGCTGCCTGGGAACCAGAAAGGGTTGCAGTCATACACCGCTGAGGACCTCAAAAAGAGGATACCCCCCGGGCTCAGGGAACAGACTGGCAGATAAGACCGCTAAACAAGCAGCCAAGGGCTTGGGGGTGACAAGTGAAGCCCCTATTAAAGCTCTCATATTGGCAGAGCTGCCTGAGCTAACGCTAGACTCTCCAAAATACACTGAAGCCCAAAACCAACCAGCCAAAGCAGAAGGGGCCATCGAGACTGAAAAGGGATGGTGGGAATCGCCAAGTGGCAAATTATTGNCTAAAAAAAAAAAAAAAAGTAACTCGCTCTTTCGGATATGCACAATTTTCATCAGCATTAGTCTCTGGTGGCTAGAGTCTCGGGCAGTCTCTTACCACCTCTCCTCATCTTCCCTATTCTAGGAAAACAGTTTTTCTAAGCGTCTGTGGATGCCTGCCTGGGTTTTGAGGCACGGTACACACCCCAAGTCAGGAGACAGAATCCTCTCCCCCCAGTCTGAAATTTATAGAGTGCTGTGATCTCAGATTCCAACTTCCTTCTCCCACCTGAAATCTAATCATGCCTTTTGTCTTTCAGCCACAATTATACATCAAAAGAGAAACATGATGATGCAACAGTTTGCCCAGACCTGTGTAACTGATTCACAGAAGTAAACAGAAGGTGTAATTACAGCTGAAAGGCAGCAACTTCTGCAGGGAGAAGAAAAAAAGGAAAATGTTCTTAATAAAATACTCTTGCCTTTATTTTAAGCTTGGTGCTCACATTCTCTAACACAGAGAAGCAAGTGAATAACCATGTCCACATAAAAACACTCCCATTCACCCCATGCAACTAGTAATATTTGAGAGACCCTTTCAGCAAATGGACAATATGCTTAAAATAAATATCAGAAGAGGTTTTAGTCTTCCTCCACTTCCTCCACTGCTACAAAATCTGAACAGCGATGAGCGAAAGAGCATGAAAGCGAAACCAGCTCACACAGAAGACTCCAGAGATCAAGATCTTCCAAATGGAAACTCCAGTTAGCTCGGCTTCTCGGAATCTCATCGCTTAAACTGTGATTTCAAAGAGGAAATCCCTGAGGGCCCAGCAGGTACATATCATCAATTGTCCATATTACTTATGCAAAAACCCTTTCTGCTGAATATTCTAGACCGAGAAGTGACAGCTTCCAAATGAGATCTGCCAGCACAACCCTCTTTTCCCCAAACAGCAAGAATCAGCAGAACACACCTAGAAGTCCTCTCAATTTATTCTTCATTGTAAGCCAGAGGGAAAGGAAGTGAGATCGGCTAAGTGAGATCCCAAGCCGCACAAAGTGAAGTTGCTCGGTCATGTCTGACTCTTTGCGACCCCATGGACTGTAGCCTACCAGGCTCCTCCATCCATGGGATTTTCCAAAGCAAGAGTACTGGAGTGGGTTGCCATTTCCTTCTCCAGGGGATCTTCCCGACCCAGGGATTGAACCCAGGTCTCCCACATTGTAGGCAGATGCTTTACCGTCTGAGCCACTATTCACAAGCCACACAAAGGCACTAACCTAATCCCATCCAGAGGAAAATAAGACGAAGACTCTTAGTGGGCAAACTCAGAGACTCAGAGGAACCTAGTGAGGCAGGACACCAAATAGATCTAAGTCACAAAGAGCTGGGCTAACGAGGCATCAGGCTATGAGGCCTGCCGGGGGAGACAACAGTGTCCCGGAGCAAAAGCCACACGACCTGTCCACAGGGGGTCTGTGTGTCAAGTACTGTCATGGGTGCATATGAGTCTTGCTTTCAAAAGCAGGAGGGCAACAAGGCTTTATTGTACATGAGCCATATAGTGTTGGCCAAAGGCGCCCTTCCAGTTGAAAGGGCTGAGGCTAAACGTAAGATGAGGCCTCAGCCACACACAATGGCCTTGTCTGGAATGTTACTCACCTCCTATGCCCCTCCTGCCTCAGGTGAGAAGCGGAATCACAGTAAAAACCTCTTTGCTCACATGTTCATTCGCTCTTTCCTCTCTTTCCTGGAAAAATTATTGTGACTGGGCGTGTCCTCTGCTCGGGAAGGCTTCTGTTTGGAGGGCCTTCTGGAAGGTGGAGTGGAGTCAGAGTGAAGCCCAGGGGAAGACAGCAAAACGTAGCTGTTCCAGTCCCACGCTGGCCGAGTCTTTGGGAAATGAGGGGAATCGCTTAGCTTCCACGTCATCGGCCCACGTCCCTGCTGGAGAAGAGATAAGGTGTAGGCAGATGACCCAGGAGAAAGATGCACTCGGCCAGAATGGACGCAGTGCCTGTGAGAGGCAGAAAGACGAGCAAGTCAGGGAAGCCCTAACATCAGTGGAGTCCAGAATCCAGAAGGCCCCTGTGTACCGCACCAACTTCCACCACCCAGGTCTCTTCAGCTGCGCTCAGACCAGGACAGGAGGGCACGGAGGGGTGGGAAGCAGAGAACTGCCTGGAGTTGAGACCCCTAATTCACTCTAGTTCCACATGTGACTGCTTCTCCTACCACATACTCTGGCACTCAAAAAACAAACAAAAAATTGAGGGCCTGCAATCTACAAGGCCTTGTTGTCACTGTTTAGTTGCTCAGTCATGACTGACTCTTTTGCGACCCTATGGACTGTAGCCCACCAGGCTCCTCTGTCCGTGGGAATTCCCAGGCAAGAATACCGGAGTGGGTTGTCATTTTCTTCTCCAGGAGATCTTCCTGACCCAGGGATAGAACCCATGTCGCTTTCATTGACAGCCAGATTCTTTACCGCTGAGCCACCAGGGAAGCCACGAGGCCCTGAAGATGAACAAAATTAACAAGAGACAACTGTGCCAAGACCAAGTGGTAGAAGGAAAGAGCCTGGGTTTCTGAAGCCATCCTGGTCTTGGTTTGGTCTTTTGTAAATTGTGTGGCCTTGGCCAAGTCACTCTGTGTCTCTGTTAAGGGGGATAAAACTACTTACCACCAAGTGTTTCTGAATAGATTAAGATAAGGTATACAATGGCCTTACGAAATGGCAACAGCATTACTAGCTGTGGAGAACCTCAGACTTGTAAGCAGCTAAAAACAAGATGGAACAAATACAGTGGATCCAGAACAAGAGCAAAGTGGACTTGATGGGACTGGGTCCAGGAGAGAGGGAAAAGGGATGCTTTGCAGAGGAGCTGACTCAGCTGCTTCTGAAACAACGAGAAGCGATGCCTCCCAGCCCCGGAGGCCTCACAGTGCCCACATTGGGCTCCGCACTTAGAAGAGCCTGTGCTTAGTTTAGTGCCCCGCTGTCGTCATCTCGAAATTCTAAATAATTTTTGAACAAGAGACTTTGCCTTTGTAGAAGGCCCTGCAAACTGCATGGCCAGCCCTGTTCCTATTGATTGATGGAGTTTTAACTGACCATCTCTGCGGCAGGCCACCTCCTTCTCAGGGCCTCCAGAGCTGGACAAACATCACTGACTCTCTGACTCCCAGTGTGTGGGCACACCAAGGCCGCTAGGTTCTCCTTCTCAGCTCCAGACTTCCGAATCCATATAACCCACCCCAGTTTCTCTGCCAGTAACAGAGTGGGTAAAAATCTGTACCAGTTCATCACTTTCAAAATACAAGGGAACATTCCCCTCCATGAAACCCCTTTCCAGGATTCAAGATTTCAACCTGGCAAAAACCATCCCTTGTCCAGCCCCATCAGCCTTCCATTCAACCAACCTCTCTTGAGTGCCTACCACAGGCTTCCTGGCGGCTCAGCTGGTAAAGAAGCCACCTGCAATGTGGGAGACCTGGGTTCAGTCCCTGGGTTGGGAAGATCCCCTGGAGGAGGGAACGGCTACCACTCCAGTATTCTGGCCTGGAAAATTCCATGGACTGTATCATGGGGTTGCAGAGTTGGACATGACTGAGTGACTTTCACTTTCACTTTTAGTATAAAAGAAGTGAGATGGGTCTTTGGGTAATGAGTTTACTTTCTTCTCAGTCAGCTGGTTTTTCTGAATAAAGTCACTGTTTCTTGCCCCCAAAACTTGTCTCTCTATTTACTGGCCTGGTACATAGTATGAGCTTGGACTCAGTAACACCAATAAGGCTTTGCCCGAATTTTTCATCTGGCCTTATCAATTTCTATTGAGTAAAGAGCCCAGGAATCCAGGTTGGTAACATTTTGATCTTTACTATATCTTAAAAAAATTTTTTTAAATCTTATATTGGAGTATAGTTGATTTACAATGTTGTGTTTGTTTTTCAAAAATTTTTCTTTTATATTGGAGTATAGTAGGTTCAGATGATAAAGAATCTGCCTGCAATGAGGGAGACTCAGGTTGGATCTCTGGGTCAGGAAAATCCCCTGGAGAAGGAAATGGCAACCCACTCCAGTATTCTTGCCTAGAGAATTCCATGGACAGAGGAGCCTGGAGGGCTATAGTCCATGGGGTCACAGAGTCAGACACAACTGAAGCAACTTAGCAGCAGCAGCATAGTTGATTTGCAGTGTTGTTTGTTTAAGTCTTTATGAAATCTTATAAGGTAAATATTTTGATGCCAACTCTGCAGATGTTGAATCAGAGGCATTGAGAGGTCACATCACTTGCTCAAGGACACATTCACTAGCAGAACTCTGATTCTTAAACCCTGGGAGCTTTTATCACACCCCACCACCTGAGAGCACTCCTCTCTAGATAAGGGGTTCCCAACCTCTGAGCCACAGATTGGCACCTCCTGTGAGATCAGCAGTGGCATNGCGAGGGTGGGATGTTTCAAGAGAACAGCATCGAAACATGTATATTATCTAGAATGAAACAGATCATCAGCCCAGGTTGGATGCATGAGACAAGTGCTCGGGCCTGGTGCACTGGGAAGACCCAGAGGGATCGGGTGGAGAGGGAGGTGGGAGGGGGGGATCGGGATGGGGAATACATGTAAATCCATGGCTGATTCATGTCAATGTATGACAAAACCCACTACAATATTGTGAAGTAATTAGCCTCCAACTAAAAAAATAAATGAAAAAAAAAAGAAGTGTCCTGCCTAATTCAGTATCTTACAATAACCTAAAATGGAAAAGAATCTGAGAAAGTATGTATATATGTATATATACATACATATAAACTGAATCACTTTGCTTTACACCTGAAACTGACACAGCATTGTAAATCAACTATTCTTCAATTTTTTTTAAAAAAAAGGTATCCTGCCCTCTATGAATTGCATTATTGTCTGGTGTTCTGCATCCCTAGGTGTGATCCTCTGGGATCTCAGATTGGTGGGAAAGTAATCTGTCACCTTTGACCTAGACTAACTTCCCCAGTGGGAAAGTGTTGGGGTGGCCAGAGATCCCCGGCTATAGAGGTGACAAGATTTTGGGATATCCTGGAGAAAGTGGTCTGCAAAGCAGCCAGATAGTGGATAGAGGGCACAGAGGCAAGATGCAGGCTCCTGCTGACTAACCTCTCTTCTCTTTCTCTGTGAGAGTCTCTCCTCTGAGCAGCCAGAAACCCTAAGGAGAGAAGATCCAAGAAGTTGATCTATAGGATGTGCCAAGAAAAGATTCCCCATTCATCAGAATCAGTGAACTGTAAGCCACAAGCAGTGAGAGTAAAAATAGCTATATCTATCTCAGGAGAAAGGGAGAAAACAGACTAACAGAAGAGCCCACCCTTCTAAATCTGAGACAGGAGCTCTTGGCATTATCTAAACTCCAGGCCCCATTGTATTAAATATGAAAACCTCTCACCCTCTTTTACAGTTGTATAAATTTCAAGTAAATTAGTATATTG